CCACTTGACCCTGCCGAGAGTGGGTTCATCCGTCAGGTGTGGTGAGCGTATGAAATCACCGACAGCCGGTCTCCACCCTCATTCAGGATTGTACACGTTCAGTACTTCCGTTCAGTAGGTTCAGAACTGGGTGTTCATAGGTTCGTTCAGGGTTCAGGTGACACCACTCTCAGTTCGTCAGTTCAGTTCAGTAACGAGCCCACGTTCGTTCAGTTGCAGTACAGTATGATTTATCGACTACTTATCCCCCCTCGGGGTCAAAGGGCGTAAATTTAGTCAATTTTCTGTCACCAATAACTTTTACCTAGTTGGCGTGTCGATACTAGAACGTAATGTGATGTGTCAATATAGTAAACTTTACGATTAAATCTGCCGCTACTGTTAGTATAATCTAAATAATTGCGGGTCTTGCGTCTGTTATTATCCCCGATACTGAGTTTTTCAGACAGTTTTTCCGTCTTAACGCGTCCATTTCTTTTAGTATTATTACCCCCGTTAAACGGTAATGTGTATAAAATGTAAATTTAAAGACAATGGGTCTTGCGCCGGTGTCCGCAGTCGTCCTGATGTATCTATAGTAAAGTTTTGGGTAAATTAAACAAGCGAGGAAGTATTAAAGGAATATTTGATTCGTCTGCTAAAATTTTTGAGTGCCGATAACCCATTAAACTTACCGAAGTCAAATACGTAGTATTTGTCTAGTTTTTCAAGGTCTAAGTAAAATGCTTATTTAGTTCCTTAGCTACCGTGAACGATATTTGTTTTTGTTCGTATTAATTTTGTAAATTTGTTTGATGTCATTACTGTGTAATAGTTTCCAAATGGATTGGACTATTGGTCCTTCCTTTTGTTTTGTAGCGTTGAGAGTAGAGGATTAGGAGGAGTTGTTTTAGAGAGAACATACGGAGAGAGAGATGTAGGGAGGAGCTCGGACTGTCGGGCTAGTCATAGTCTCTCTATTAGTTTTATCTTACGGGCAACCGGTCCAAGAACAAGTTAATGTGTTCAAAACAGAATGAAGAATATGTTACGAATTATCTAAACTCTTTTGGTTCAGATTGCTTCGAATTTGTTTTATTTCGCAATCGTATAGATCGATTGGTGTGTGTTCAGTCGGCATCGGATCCGCGAAATGGACACCAAAAAAAAACATTTTGTTGACTTCAACCTATACAACACCATCCTTTGGACACGTGACTCTCTATATTATACGACCGTCTGGGACTTGTATGTGTGTCATTGAGAAGTTATAATCGTAGTTGCTTCTCTGTTTATTAGGAACTTAGGTTTGAATGTATAAAATTTTTTCCTTCATTTCTGATCCGGCACGGTACATTGACTGTGACGCCGACGCAGATCACCCAACCCCGGTCCAAACGCGCGTACCGCAATATTAGTGCAAAAGGTTTTTTTCGATTTTGCATTATAGCGCGTTGATGTTTTTGTTTGCGTTTATAAATTAAAATTTGGTTAGTTCAGGAAACGTTCGACGGTAGACAGAGTTTCGAATTCAGTTCAGACGTTCATTACTTATGGTTCAGCTTTTTAGTTTCAGGTTCAGTTCAGAAAATAGTTTACCAATCAGTTCGTTGCAGAGTTCAGTTTTTTTATTACGCTGAGCTCGAGACTGAGCTCAGTCTCAGTTCACTGAGGGCTCAGGGGGGGTGGAGACGACAAGCCCCGTCGAATTTGGAACTTGAACGCTGGGATGTCGAGGGTCACGCGTTTCGGGCGACTTGACTGGACGGGTCTAGTCGTAACGTTACATTATAGAAATCCCGTAAAAGTTTTTTTATTTCCTGCACAGTTATTGTCCGAATGTGTCAGAGTCATCGAAGTCCAGCTGGTCGTAGGAGGTAAAACCACGTGTGACTGCCCTTTTATGTACCTAAAGTTTTATTTGAAGTTAAGACGTTTACTTAGGGGACCTTTATTACTATCTTCACTGACTTTCGACCGCGTCAAACTCGAGATGAACTCAAAGAGATCTGACGTCGTTCCGGTAGGGAGGACATACACGTCAGTCGGTTGCACTCGACGGGAAATACGACCGGGTCCACTAATTTGTAAGGTGCCAGGTTGTGAGAGACTCCGACGTCACAAGTCTGAGTTTCGACTTGCGGTACCGTTTTGTAGCGTAGATGACAGTGAAATGTTTACTGTCGGATGTCTTAGTTTCGTTGTTACTGTATAGTCGGTCCGTTAAAGCGCCGGGAACAATTGTTCTGTGCTTGGGGGTAAAATATACTTAAATTATTCCACAACGCGGAGATTTGGAAACTGTACATGTAGTACGTTATTGTGTTCAATGAACTCGTGAAAATTTCTACGTCTTCTTCTTATTCCGGTTTTTGACAACATAGGAATTGTAGCCGGTTTTGTAAAAATCTTTCATGTAAAAATATTGTGATTGGGAGAAATGTCGTCGTTACATAAAATGAGTGAGTATAAACCCCCTATCGATAGGAATACCCGCTTGGAAATCGCTTGATGTCTATGACGAATAACTATGACCATAATTAACTGTGAGGTTTTTTTTTTTTTTTTTTTTTTTTTTTTTTTTTTTTTTTTTTTTTTTGATTAGGTCCCCACCTGTGTTGGTGTCAGTTAGATGCTGCTCCACACAGATTTTTATCTTGTTCGTTATAAGGACAAAATAGCAATTACCAGGATCATGTTGTATTTTAGCAGGAAACGGTCTTATTACGTTGAACTTGCGTAGTTTCGAACACTAACCGGCCGCACTGGGGTACACAGCCCCGCAACCGACCACCGCGTCACCCGGTGATCAAATCATGCCGGGGAGTTGTACCGTCACCGCGTTACGGAGTTACTCGACGTTGCACCCCCCCCCGCCCCTCGAGTTGGGGAAAATCCGTGCACTGCACGGTGAGGGGCACCAACACAATGTTTCATTTGTATAATATCCACGAATATAAATAATTTATATATATTAAGACTACAGACACCAATAAATTTAACGTAAGGGACTATTTACAATAGAAAGTCGACAGGTTGTTTACGTCAACAATTAGGTCACAAATCACACGCTGTAGTATACAGTGAAGTCGGAGTTAAGTCCAAAAGGTTTTGCAATACGGTGTACCGATTACGATGCCCGCCTTTACTTCTTTAAAAGTCTTAGTTATCACAATTTAATTATCATCACACTTGAAGGCCCAAAAAGTCTTATTTTGACGAAATTTAATTTTCGGCGGGGGATTAAGACCGGGATTGCGAGGGTTTTCGCACTCCTGGTCTGCTGTCGATTTACGTGTCGTCAGGTAAATGTGGGTCCGGGCCCGTTCGTTGTTCTCGTTCCGACAACGTATCGAGAAATAGCACAGTCAGTGCAAGAACCCCGCTTGTGGACTTCAGAAAGTTTCTTCCTGCTTCAACACTTCTCGGGGGAAAGGACCCCCACGGCCTTCGCCCGAAAAACCCCTGTCGTTTTTTTGTCATCGTACAAGTTGTCCAAAAACTATATTATTTTTGTAGTTCAATTTCTATGGCAATAACTAGTGACATTCAAAATCAAACAATACTTGCCCGAATAAGTAATATTAATAACATGTTCTTACGCTAATCTCTTACCTTTCGTAATTCTAGACAAGGACAATTTTAACTAATATCAAGATAATAACGTTAATCCAATTCTTTGATCACAAACGACGTAGGATAAAATTTTCCGTAAAGCAAAATATAAGATATAATTTAATTACGTTGTTTTTTTCCCAAACTAAGATAATTAATTCAGAAAAAATAACGTGAAACCCCGTCGTTTCTAAGGACACATACGAAGTCTAGACTCAACAGAATAATCATTCGGATTACATAGTGAAAACATTACGTGGGTGATAAAAAGTATATTACCGTTTCTTTCCCAAACGTCCTCATAAAGAAAAAAGGGGACACGAGTAGGCACACCGGTCGTGACAAGTTTACAAAAGAACTTTGTAATAGGGTCGTAGGCATCCTTACACTGCACACTTTATTTGAGGTTGAGACATAGTCGTTGTGACAACACTCCGGAAGTTCAATTTATAAACATTACACACATCTATCTTTCTCCATTCTATTTTCCTACGGTCGTATAAATACTTCATACAGTACGAATCGTGCTTCCAGTCAAAATAAAGTTCATCTTTCACACATAAATGGACTCATCATCCGACACGTCATTACAGATGCCCGGAGAGATTTAAACCTGACCATCTAGAGCCGTCTGACCCGAATTTTCATCGGAGAGCCAAGTTTTTCCAACCCGTGCCGGGACGAGATTACGCTAGTACAATAGCGTTGTAAAATAAGTGGTCTTTTTTTTTATTGTACTTTTGTACACTCTTTCTTACATTACTTTTTAATGTTGTATTTTAATTTTTTGTTGTAATTATTCTTGTTTCTAAACTTAAGTAGTAGATTAATAAGTCCGGTTCCGTTTGTTTTGTAGTAGTTAAGTAGTAGGACGTAAAAAAAATCTTTTTTTTACATATAACTGCAAGGGACCCCTCTTCAGTTCTAGAGAGGAATCACTAACATCCCGCAGACTCACAACTTGTGAGAAAGTCGTCCTACGACTACTCCGACTTCGTATTCTCCCATCCCCAAAGACGGTGTAGTCAATGGCAGACTGTCCGTGCAGAGTCCGGTGGTAAACCACATGTGGGAGACGCCGCTGCGTCTCCGGGCCCGTTGTTTGATTTTGACAAACGTGTCACCTGTGGCCCGGTTCGATTACTCGGTAAGTACATCGTTTAGCGACAAATGTCCAAAGAAATAAGTGCGCGTACTAAACCCGTCTCGATCATCACGTGTAGTCATTTGTTCATTTTTCGAACCTACAAATTTCCCGCGTACTTACCGCGTAAAGATGACTAGTATTAAGGTTAACAACTCCAGATGATCTATCTAAATCGTAACACGTTACAAGATTTTGAGTGTAACCAAAGAGTATGTCGTACGACGACACACTCATACACATAAACGGTGAGAGACAAGCGATTTTACGAAAAAACTCGAGGACGGGCCGGTTTGGCGCCGAATTGCATTGCCGCCGTGGTGCCCTTGAGCAAGGCACCGGACAACCCCCCCCACTCCCATTGCTCCCCGGGCGCTGTACAATAGCTGCCCACTGCTCCTAGTACTATGGGTTAAAAGCAGAGAACAAATGTCACTGTGTGTGCTGTGTGCTCTGCATGTGTGACCATTAAAGAGGGTTTCATCCCTCCCAATTCTCCATAGGGTTAATACAAGTCTTAAAACATATTTTAAATGTGATAAGGATATCATGTTGATAAGCAATTTTCATCACTGTGAAATATCAACGGTAATGTGCAAGTCTGTTTAACTTAGCCTAACCCCTCAACTCTTGTCACCAATCTGTTTATGTGTGTGACACACACACACACACACACACACACACACACACACACACACACACACACACACACACACACACAGGTCCGTCTGTTTCTGGGGAAATAACAATTGGGTACTTTAAGTCCATTTTCCTATTCTTAGTTAGACACGTTTACTTCAGTAGTATTCTCGACTTTTACTTGAAATTGAGTATTTTAACAGTTTGGTTGGTTTCAACACACTGATTATTTAGTAGCACAGTATGTGTCACCCAGTAAACCAGGAAAGTTTTTTTTCCGTTGCTTTGGTTTAATACTTTCTATTTCAAATGAACTAGCAGATCCTCCCACCCTGTGTACTCTACAGGCTTGTCTACATTCCTTTTCACTCGAGTTTCACGGGAAGTACCACACCTCTGAAGGAACTCTTGCACTCACATTCAGAATTTAAACAGCATGAAAAAAAACAAAAAGCCTTGTTTTGAGTCTGATGATAGGAGAATTTGGACATTTGACAAAGGGACTTGAGAGAGAGAGTGCATCTTTAATTATAATATACTAAAACAAGCGGAAATCAATAGCAACACACACATACACACACACGCACACGCACACGCACACACGCACACACACACGCAAAGCAAAGCAAAGCTAATTACTTTGTTATTGTTTATTGTGTCTTGCAGATGCGTCTGATCTGACACTGGACCCTAACACAGCATGCGTGAATGCAATTTTGACAGAAAACAACAAAAGGGCAGATTATGTTGAGGAGAAGCAGCCATACCCTGATCATCCAGACAGATTTAAAGTGTCTCAAGTACTTTGTGAAGAAGGTCTGACCGGTCGACATTACTGGGAGGTTGAGTGTCCTACGGCTGACGTTGGAGTGGCGTACAAAAGTATAGACAGAATGGGAGACTGCTCAAGGGAAACAGTTTTCGGTGAAAATGAAAAGTCATGGTGCTTGACTTTTGATGGATTCTTTAAACATAATTCCCCTGAGGGATTTATTGTCCGCGATGAATTCAATTCATTCCAGAATACCGTTGGGGTTTATCTAGACTGGCCGGCGGGTATTTTGTCCTTTTTTGAGGTCGGTCCTGATACACTGACCCACCTGTACACTGTCAGTACAACTTTCAACGAACCACTCCATCCTGGTTTCTTCATCCCGAACGGATCAATTTACTTCCATAAACTAAATTAACCAAATATCTTGGCGAAAGAAATCTGTGCACAGCTACAGTAAGAGACCTACTCCCTGCTGGCTGAATGCAACACTGAAACATTCAACACATGTGATGAACTGATTTAACATTTAAACTGAAATACCTAACATTTGAATCATTTTCAATGTTAAAGTATGATTAAGTAATAGGGGTTTGGTGGGTTTGAGATGATTGCCCATTGTTGTGTACCGTAATTTTTGCACTATAAGCCGCGCCTTTTTCCCATTTTTCGACCCTGCGGTTTATATAACGGTGCGGCTAATCTATGGATTTGTACAGCTAACGGCCACTAGGGGACCTCCTAAATCTATGGATTTTACAGGTTACAGTCCACCACCTTTAACTCTATGGGCTCTATGGCCGGTCCGCGGCGGGCTCCAGCAGGAAAAGCTGGAGGCCGGAAAAGAGTGAGACAGGTAGCGCGCAAAAGTAAAAGTGGAACCGAGAGTGGTACGAGAGACATTACGAGAGCGAGACAGTTTGTCCCCGTACCACTGGTTGAAAACCACTGCTGTAGATCACTGCCGGTACGTGCGCTGGGAGCGCACCGTTTAAGTTTGAAAGTTGAAAAGTTTGTGTGTCTGAAACGCTATGTGATACAGTACAGTTTACACAGCACATGTTCTGTAGCTACTATTGCACTAAATGCTAACACTTGAATACGTTATGCAAATATGCAACTTGTTTGTTGAAATGTTAATAAATGGGAGCTTCCTCAAACAGCCATCTCTTTCCCGACAATCCCCTCTGTGCACGAACCCTTACATATGGTAATTAAACATTAAAACACCTGCGGCTTATAGTCCAGTGCGAATGAAGTCATTGAACATAAACAATGAACTGTGGTGACACAACGTTCAATTTGAGTTAATGGTATTTCATAACAACCTAACTCATCCTGGCGAAGCCGGCAGCACGATTGCTAAGAGTTTTCTTTGACGACTAAGAAATTGTATTTTATATAGGCATTAAAGCCTGATATTCCGCGTGGAAGCTTATATTCGGCGGCTCGGTTTAACTGTACTACACATGTATAATCGGGCGTGAC